TCTGGTTCGAATATTGGTTGAATGTACGTGTAGGTTATTTGAAGAGCTTTCAAGACTATCCACCCTTTTAGTTTGGTACGAGAGAGAGGGGATGGGGATAGAAGAGAGAGTGAGATCGTGATCATCATCATAATTTTCACTCACCGGCTGCTTTGATCCCGTTGAGTCCACGGAGGTGTGGGACATGAAGCTGTAGCGCATGGAGCCGGGCCGTCTCCGCCCCCACTTGTTGCCCCGCCCAGAGCTGAGCGGCATGTCCACCTTGATGCGAGAGAGAACGGTCATCATGTTAGTGGGCAGCGTGTTGTTGCGCTGTGGGAAGCCGCTTTGGCCACGCCCCCTCCCACGCGCTGCTTTAGCTAGTGCCGGGGAACTCATGATTGTGGGTCAGGGGGGTCGCAGGTCAAAGATGACGCGTCACAAGTTCACAGAGGTCGAGAAATAAATAGTGTTACAGACTGACCTAGAATATGGTTCCAGGTCGTATGAGAGATGACTCTCTGTAAGTACAAATTGCACAGGGTGGTGCTATAAGGAATCCAGTTCTGAATAATCGTGTTGACACTTCACAGTTTTATGAAAGAATAATATATGTAGATCCCACTGTTTGTCGGACTAACTACAAAATCATACAGTGATACCGTTTGTGAGATGTCTCAATCGTTTTATGGCTTTGCCACAAGCATGAGTCATGGAGTCAGTACCAGAAGAGCCATTTTCACAACTGAATAAGTATGAATCAATTGTGAGTGAAGTTGTTTAAACGAATTGATCCCATGGAAAATATTTCACAGTAACTGCTCGTCCTATTTCAGAACCGAGAAACAAAATTAAATAAATATTCAAATAACGAGCGCGAAGGACACAAACAAGAAAGAAGTTTGTTGGATTGGTAGCAGATTCTGTCACAGGAAGCTTTAAAGTAACCGTGTATAAAAATATATACGTTTCCTGGACATAATATTATTGTAATGAGAAAAGCACGGACCTGCCTAAAGGATGAATCCAATAGCAGGCGAATGTTTATAAGATGTAGTGATAAAAGAGAAGAAAGATACCCTGAAGCAAAGTCAACAAACTCGTATCAACGGCGTCAATATAGTATTCGCATTCACCACGGGACAGCTCTGATGTACAATTTGAAAATAGAGTGCGCGTGACCGGGAAA